TTCGTTGCTATGACAACTCCGATGCCGTTGCGACCCTGATCATAACACATTTTCGTCTTTATCTAATACAACTGTGCTGGCAATTTTTCCAAAACTTTGTTTATGGCGACGTAGTTTGTGCTAAAACTTGGGAGATATTGGCCCTTAAAAACTGTACGGAGCCACCTTAAAAGTAGTTTCATCAATAGACTCCATTTAAAATACAAAGTAGCAGTTCAATGAAAAAATGTTTTTGTTAATGTTAATATTAAAAATAATTAAGAGCTAAACACTGAAAATGTTTTATACTGATTAATACCGCAAGGATATATACATTCAGTGCAACAACTTCATACAAAAATCATTGTAGTCACGTTTGACAGTAAAAAAACCAAGGATTTTTGTTTTACCTCAATTACATTCTGCCTAGAACGTGAACCTCGGGTGTACTCCTTGGCGTGTCCCGATTGTTTCGCCATGGCTGGATGTCACTATTTAAATTGGACAAGTCAAACTTTTGTGTCGCTCAAAGCACATTTAAACGTCGGTTTGGAAATTGTAGAGGTCCTAGAAAGCGTTTCTTCCTCTTAGAGACTGACGGTAACTGGAGTGATAGAAGGTTGCTGATGGGTTTTATAAGTTGGCCTCTCGTGTACGAACGCGGAAAAGTTTATTGGAATCAAGGAAGTAACTCCGCGCAGTTATTATTTATAGACCCGAAACTCAGAAAAACCTCACGGCAAAACCAAAAACCTCACGTCAAGAACAAAATACCTCACGACAAAACCAAAAACCTCACGGCAAAACCAAAGACCTCACGGCAAAACCAAATACTTCACAGGAAAAGCCAAATACCTCACGGCAAAAGCAAATACCCACGGCAAAACCAAAGCTATTTTGTTTTTGCTGTGAAGTATTGGTTTTGCCAGGAGGTTTTTGGTTTTGCCGTGAGGTTTTTGGTTTTGCCGTGAGGTATTTTGTTTTTGCCGTGAGGTTTTCGGTTTTGCCGTGATGTTTTTGTTTTTGCCGTGACAGTTGTGGACCACCATAGTACGGTCAGAAGTATTTCTGCTTTACAGGTAGATGGGCCGGCCAATAACTGGGGGAGCTGGGGCAGTTTACGCTATACTGAAAGCTAGAATGACTAGCCAGTTGTCTTCTAAGACAATGGCGAATTCGAACTGGAGAACCTGCACTTTCACTGAAGTGAGGGGCGATATACAGGGGCGGATCAAGAATTTTTTTAATGGAGGGTGGCTGATGCCAATAGGCCACCAAAATATACTTTAATTTATTTCAAGTTGTCTTAGGTTTGTCCCAGAACATGGCGATTAAGGAACAGTAACACTACTGCAAACTCTTGAAACGCCACAAATAGAAGAAATAGGAGGAAATAGAAATATCTTACTAACCCTAGTCGGCCAAAAGTGAAAACGCCGTCATTCGTCAAGGGTGCAGCGCCACAAATTTCTGACAAACCACACTTCGATCGATCGCAGCTGCATTTGTGAGGCTGGTTGGCTTCACAAGGTTTTTGTGACCCATGTATTTCCGTTTTTTTTCCCACGCATTATATTTTTTAATGGCTGTTCTAAAGGGGGTTGAGTAGCCACCCAATCAACCCCCCTCCCCCCACCCACCTGGATCCGCTCCTGCGATATCCAGTGGATAAAAACACTCCCGAGTTGAAGCCGAGGTTACTCAGAAAAACTGACCTGAAGGTGTTAGTTTTATTCGCGTTTAGGCAGCTGAACCAACAGATGCCAAAGAGTGTTCAAGTTTTTTCAAGTAACTGCGCTAAGGGACTGTGCAATAATTATCTGGAGGGGGGGCTGCAAAACTAGAGTTATCTAGCAAAAACGTAGACAGTACTCCCCTCCAAATCAAAAAAAATTAGTTCTAACCCCCCTCTGTTATGTTGAAAATAACGTCGCACCCCCCCTCCCACCACCCACCCACCCACACACACACACCCACCCCTCACCGTGATGACTACAAGCCAAACCCACATGATGACAGTAATATCACTAGAGGTAAAAATGAGGCAAATTAAATCAAGCTTAAGCTTCAAGCCATCAAAGATAAGATCAAAACACGACGACAGCCTCTTCTCTGAAAACACTGGTAAACTCAAAACTGGACTGAGCTGCCATCACAGCTTCAATAATGACAAACGTTATTATGTAACATCTAGTATCGAGAAGGATGTTGATCGCTTGATTGAAGATTTAGACAAAGCATTTGCTAAGTACCAGGGTGCTTACCACATTGGCTCAAAATCTAAAACTTCTGAAGCCAGAAAGAGAAAGGAGCAGTGAAAAAAAATCAAAGAACAGGAGATTGAACGCTTCAAATAACAGACGAAAAAGAGCTTGCATTATATTTAGATCCTCGGGAGGAGAGCCTGTTGAACTTTGTTATGAGCCAGATATATATGGAATTCAGCAAATCGATTCAGTCGATAAAGAAACATTACTTTCATTCACATCAAAAACCGACAAAGCTTGTCTACGAGATCTGTTTGATTCCCATTGTTTTATGGGGGAAGCTGAAAAACAAGTTCATAATTTTTGCTTTACATAGGATCAGCTCAATTAATTAGAAGACGGGTTAAAATTGATCAGTTGTGAATTTGCTTTTCATTTTGATGGAATATTTTCAATAATCGTTTAACAGCTGTTCGTATTGATATTTGTTACAGTCTATCATGATGCCTGTATTGAGAATCTTTTATTGCGTTTAATTTTATTTACATTTCGAATAAAACTTAAGGCCCCCCTCCGTCAAATGAGTGATTTTACTTTGAGCCCCCCCTATCTTGGCAGCAATTTTATGTAATGCCCCCCCTCTAGTTTTTCAGCCCCCCCCGATAATTATTGCACAGTCCCTAAGATGTTTGTAAACATGACTTTGTAAACTGAAGGCTAAAACCAAATGTGCAGTAAAAGGACTAAGATGTGGACCTCAGGGTCAAAGAGTTCTATTGTATATCTCACTACCTTCGAGCTTCAAATCACCTTAAACTGATGTAAATTTAGATTCGGTGTCGAACGTACGGTTCCTGGTAACTGCCTATACTGTCAGTCCAATCAGCGAACATAGACGACAGGATCAAAAACGTTTACCAACATTGCTAAAACGAATGTTTTTCTTCCAAACGAGGATAAGTTCCACCGAACCATATGCACTAAGCCTTCACTGTTTTAAGAGAACGTTATTTAGAAATATATGATAAGTTATTAGGGAACAGAACAAGCAAAGACGTGAATGAGCAACCCACACCAACCGGAAGTGAGATTTCTTTCTCTTTTATTATGCTTTGATTCTACCAAAAATGTATTTCAAAGTGTCTTTACTCTTATAGAGACGATCTGTCCTAAAATTTGGGCAAACCGCAGCTCAAGAATGCAAAACGTCTACTTCCGGTTGATGTGCGTCGCTGAAAATCGTCATTGCTTAAGCTAATAAAGTTTCAGGGGAGGACAAACAGGGAGGACCATAGAGCTCCTAGGGAACTAATGTCGTAGAATGCCCGACAATAGCCCCCGAACCGGACTTTTTAACCTCGAATAAGACAATTTCAAACACAGGAATTACAGTCTGTTATTAGTTCGTGCAGGCACCCTGGCTTCACTGCTACTGGAGAAAGGATTCAAACAAGTCAACCCGGCACATTGATTCTTCACAGACAGAATGTGGCGACTGTGTGGACCAGCACAAAATGGCCTGTTGATGATAGCTCAATCAGAAATACTAAAACCAATTCAAGAAAAATCCTATGTCAGCCTTGAAAACATCCAACTGATTGTATGATTATTACTTAGATTATTCCACAAAACTATCCACACTTCTTACCTGATGGAAGGTCTTGATTATAACCGTGGGAATACTTCCTTATGAGAGGCTAAAGGGGATGTGCCGCTGGATGGGGTCGCATTTTCACGACTGGATTGACCATAATAGGGTCGCGACAACAGTATTTCATTACATTGTATTCTTGATTTTCAGGTGACCTTATAAAAATTATAAAATCCATAATCCCAAAGAACTTTTAAGACTTTATACCCTTCGGCAATATACCCTGTAAAAATCAATCCTTCTGCAAAATTTTCAGCCTACTGGAGTCCTCCGTTGTCTTCAGTCCTTGCTATAAACACGCACAAGTTAAGGCCGTGCAATTTAAAAATGGCGGCCGAAAAAGCTTGGGATAGAAAAAGCTATTTTATTGTATGACATTTGCCCTCTGCACATTCGAGGTATGAGAAAATGTGTTTTGGGAGAATTTGCTCTTTTGCGCAGTGGATAACTTAATTATAGTCACATTCTTGGCGAAACTTATAAACACCAGAGATTTATATTTCTGTCGACTGCCATCATATTTGTTCCTCAAACACGGACATTCCAAAAGACTAGGGTCGCGAAAATACGATGCCTGCATAGGGCCTGTTGCCAACAAAACCGGGCTAGACATTATCAGAAATGAGAAAACCAGAGATGGAAACTGTAAGAACAATGAATCCAACAATGGATAGACCAGGATAAAGTCGGGTTCAGGCATCTGACAAAAAGATCTCCAACCAGCAGGCCGACCAAGCTTACAGCTCTAGACAGTCTCTAGTGTCAGCTTATGAAGACACAGGGAGGGCATGGCATTCAACATCTCCTTCGTATTAAGTAAGTGATTAAGTAAGTAAGCAAGTAAGTAAGCAAGTGAGTAAGTATCATAAAGTAAATCAGTAAGTCAGTGAGTAAGTAGTAAGTATCGTTTGGAAGGTAAAAAATATGGCGTCTCCATACTCAGAAACTTGATTTGACCAATTTCACCCTACAGGGCTGAACATACAAGATGTTTTGCCCACCTACTCAATGTCCTCTCAAGGGTCTATCAGCCCTAACTCAGACTTAATTCTCGTAAGTTGATGCGATATTCAGTTATATAACACATCAATAACTTCAGGTTCTGCCTCTTCTTTTCAAGTTTTATTACATTTGCTGAAAAGCGGGTATTCCGGCCTTCAAAC